GATTATGTCAATTTGTGTGTCGGAAACTCAAGTGTATGTATGTATGATCCATGTAGTGGGGAGGCTAACAAGGGAGCAAGCGAGTCGAGAACAAGTTGAAACCTTTATGGCTCAAGAAAGGGAGAAGAGAAGAACTTTGTTGCACAAGTTCCTGCAAGCCTGCTCTGCTTCTAAGGTCCCATCTCTCTAAGCCTTAAAGTATTGATTGTATAATTTAAGAGTGGATCAAGATTAGTCAACTAACAGATGAGAGTAAGTGAAAAACAGGTGAAGGTGGAGACAATACTTGTTGAGAGCGATTCGGTGGCTAAGGCTATACAAGACCTCATTACCATTCTTCACATTAAGAAGCTTGTTCTTGGGATCGACAAGTCTAATGCAAGGTATGTATACATACAAAAGATGAACTCCCCCAACTCTTTCAGTTATCAGATGACATGACAGAGCCTCTCTTTATGGCTTCTTGTAGGAAAGCAAAGTCGACGAAAGGAAACAGTGTACCTGAACAGATAATGAGGAGCTCTGCAGCAGATTTGTGTGAAGTTAAAGTCATATGTCAAGGTAAAGAGATAAAGATGGAAGAGACGACGATGGAGAGCAGCCCCTCCAAGTCTCCATCAGAGCAGCGGCCGAAGAAGAAAGATCAATCCACAGATCCTTTTGCTTGCATTTGCTTTATCAGTAAGCCCAAAACTAACAGTTAATGAAATAAGAGAGGCTAAGATATAAAAGATGGAAAGATAATAAACATTTGTTTGTTATGGCTTTGTGTTTGGATAGAGCGAGTGAAAAAGGAACTCTGATTAAAAACACTAATAAGGTTACGAAAGAGTTACAACGTTTTATATAAACTACAACAGCTTATGCATAGAGAAAAACAAACCATACAACTCATGGCAATCTATAAAAAGAGTGAAACAACACTTGATCATCTTTCACCACATGGTCTTTTTAAGGAAGAATATAGTAACATATCTCTAACCTTAACGCTAGAAGAAATCGAATTCCAAATAGTTATCCGATCCTTTCTGAGCATTCAGAACCAAACCGGCTGCTGTCTTCTGGCTCGGTGGTGCCTCTGCAACACTCGTAGGTCCCTTCTCCAGCTCAACCGGCTTTGGGATTTCTGGTGGAGTCGCACACCGAATCAAAGCCCAGTTCACACCTTCGAAGAACGGGTGCTGCTTAACCTCAGTGGCTCCCCGTTTGAACCCCAGCCGCTGTTGCGGCTCCTTCATGAGCAGGCCCCGGATGAGGTCTCTCGCTGCAAAACTCACCACAGGTGTTTCCGGGAACCTCAGAGGCTGACCTACCACATTGAACAGTGTTTGTCGGTTTCCCGAGCCCTTGAAAGGTGTTCTCCCAAAGAGAAGCTCGTACAAAAATATCCCAAAAGTCCACCAATCCACTGCACTCCCATGTCCTTCCCCTTTGATGATCTCTGGGGCCAAGTACTCATGCGTGCCCACAAATGACATGGACCGCGCATCGGTTGGCTCAGCTACCAGCTCTGGCAATGGCCTAACTTGATGTGCAGTGTCGTTCTTGGGCTTACGGTCCTTTTTAGACTTGCTTGAGAACAAACGTGGGGAGAAGCAAGTGGTAGGGACGGTGCAAGACGGTTGAATGCAGGAGGGCTCAATGCAAGCAGGCTGCACACAGTAAACGTTTTTGCGTAATGGATCTGACTCGATGGCGGCAGATTTCACTAGAGTCGGGCTGACAAGACAGCGGAGTGAGAGGTCAAAATCAGAGAGCATTATATGTCCATCTTCCCGAACTAGGACATTTTCAGGCTTAAGATCGCGATACACAATTCCCAGCATGTGCAGGTATTCCAAAGCTAGCAATGACTCTGCTATGTAAAATCTGCCACACATTGAAAACAAAACCCTTACTCAGGTGACAAGAAGATATCAAGTAAATGCAAGGTATGTAAATACGATTGCAGGTCATACATTAGTAAATGGCTTGTTCCCAAAGATTTTTTTTTCCATCTATCCAACACATTGTAATAAGATCAAATAAAATGAAAAGCTAATATTGACTCACTTTACCGCTTGCTCGGAAAAATGCTTTCCGGGCTGGCGTTGCCTGAGAGTATGCAAGTCTCCTCCAGGACAGAATTCCATCACAAGGCACGAGAACTTCTCAGTATCAAAGTGAGTGTAGAGGGTAGGGAGAAACGGGTGATCCAAAGACTGTAGAATCTCTCTTTCGGTCTGAGCCCGAAGAAGCTTCTTGCGGCTCGCAAGAGATGTCTTGTCCATAACCTTCATTGCAAAATAACACTTTGTCCCACTCAGCTCAGAGAGATAAACACTCCCAATGTCCCCGCACCCCAGCCTCTTCAGAAGCCTAAAATGGCTCAAACCCAAGACCCCATCCCGAGCCCTAACCACCTGTATTGCTTCCCATCTCAAGTCATTGGCCTTGTGTGGTTTGTTAACAGTACTACTAAAGCTACTGCAACTACTCTCATCGCTCACATCACTGCTTGTGCTTCCTCTGCAGATACTGCTCTTACCACTCTCCATGAAATCAAGACGGCCACTTAGCTTAGCACTTCCACTTGTCTTACCAAGACTGCTCGTACCATCACTCACTTTCGCCGAGGCAGAGCTGGTTTTAACACTGCCAAAGCCTGATGTTTTCTTCTCCTGGTCCTTGTTATCAATAGTCAATGAATCAACATGCTCAAGAACAGTGGATAAGGAAGTAAATTCGGGTTTAGCAACAGCAGGATCACCAGATCGCTTCCTAAACGACTCAGGCAACCTTTTGCTCTCCGGTATTCCTACACCAGTTGAATTTGTGACTGATTTGTGTAACTGCAACGACTCAACTACCTCTGCTTTAACTGACTTAGTGTTACTATTCGAAGAGGGACGTTTCTGAGCTTCGACTTCAGCTCCATGACCACTGGGTTTTCGAGTGGACGCCATGAGACACAAAATAGATTAACGAAGGAGGCACATCTTCCCTTGAAACCCTAATCAGATCATGAGAAAACCAGTCAGAAGAAGAAAACCAAAAAAAAGGGTTTTTTTTTTGATGAAATCCAAAAGCAGATCCCAAAATTGTAGGT